CTTGGGAGATGGGGGTGTCCTTTTCTTCCATTCTGCTAAAGATTTCCTAGTATCTACCTTGTGGGAAGAAAACTTACTTTTCCTAACTTCTAAGCCCCAGAGGAGTTAGAATACTTTTTTTAAATTTACTTTTTTAAATTTTATTTTATATCCATTGTCATGGGTGTCAGGTCTCCTGGAACTGGAGTTTCAGACAGCTGTGAGCTGCTGTGGGTTAATCTTTTTGTACACTGTAAGATGCATCTTTGCCAAAGCACCTTCTCATTGGTTTAAGGAAGAGCACAATGGCCAATAGATAGGCAGGACTAGTGGTTAGGCAGGACTTCTAGGGACAGAAAGAGCTCTGGGAAGAAGAAAGGCAGAGTTTCCAGACGGAGAGGAAGCAGCATAGAAAGTGTAGGGTAAAGGTAACAGAGCCACATAAAAGAATGTAGAATAAGAGATATGGGTTAATCTAAGTCGTAAGTACTAGTTAGGAACAAACCTAAGCTATCAGCCGAGCCTTTATAATTAGGAAGTCTCCGTGTGGTTATTTGGGAGCTGGCAGGCAGAACAGAAAAATCCACTTACAGTGAGCTGCTATGTGGGTGCTGGGAATTGAACCCAGGTCCTCTAGAAGAATAGCCAGTGTTCTTAACCACTGAGGCACCTCTCCAGCCCCATGAGGGTTAGAACACTAAAAGGAAGGACAGGTGTTTGCAAAGGCTCCACTCCCTCCTCCTCTGCAAACTGTCCTCTCACTGCAAAATGGGACTTATTGCCTCCCCCAATGGATGAAAATGGAAAACTGTGGATTTTACCCTTTAAATGGGCCTAGTAGCATTCCAACTACCAGAAATGTAACAGGTGAGTCTTCAAGAAGATGCCTCAGTAGGTAAGGGTGCTACTTGCTGGCAGGCCTAATGGCCCCAGTTCCATCCCCAGAGCCCATATGGCAGGAGAGAATGAGCTCCTACCTAACTTCCAACCTCCAACCGAGGCTGTGTGTACAAACACATGCATGCATATACACACTAAATAAACGTTTCAGAGATTTTTAAGAAGTCGAAAAGGTGGCTTAATAGTTAAGAGCACTTGCTCTTGCAAAGGAGTCAGGCTGGTTTCCCAGCACACACAAGGTGGCTCTCAACAGTCAGTGACTGCCCACTCAACAGTTCCAATGACTTCTGACCGTCTCTTCAGCACCCAGAAGTTCAGACTGGACTGAGCTTTTTATCTGAGTCTCAAGTCACACGGAACCTAGATTTGTGTCCTCATTTGTCAGAATTGGGGAGGAAAAGGGATCATGCTCTCTTGTGTCCCAGCACCCTTAAATGGTCTTCCAAATGCACGTCTGTGTGACCAGTCTGTGAGTGTTTAAAATCTACCTGTTCAATTCCTTCCAATTCCTTGGACACTCACAAATGCAAAATAGAAGAAAAAACCCACCACACATTATATACACATGCATACAAACCACACACATACATATACTGTACACATCACACACAAACACACACCATACACAAACACACACATCACACACACACAAACACACACATCACACACACATCATATACACAAACACAAACAGAAACACACCACACACACACACACACACACACACACACACACACACACACTACAGCTCTACTAACTCTTTGGGAAAGGGATAATGCTGGTAACCACCTAATCAGAGCTTCTATTGCTGTGGTTTCTTTTGTGCTCCTGGTTTGCTGAGATGAAGTCTTCCTTCACAGTTCTGGCTGGCCTAGAGCTTGCTCTGTAGTCCAGGTTGGCCTTTCACCAGTCCCCAGGGAAGGTGGGATCACAGGCCTAGGCCATTTCAGCTGGCTAGAACAGCTATTTTCATAAGCGCTAGTAAAGGACCTTTGACCCGTTCGCTCCTGCCATCCTTGTGTATGTTCTAAAATCTGAGTGTTCAATTCCACTGTACACTTCACTATCCAGCAAGGAGCATAGGGGAGACACTGAGATCTAAAACCAGAATAGCAGGATTCTCAGCGTTTGCCGCTCAGTTACAAGACATTTCATTTAAGTAAGCATTCTGTTTACTTACTAGGATTTAAGTTGAAACACTTGGGGCAGGGAGACTTGGAAGAGAATCAACGGTGACTATAAATGGATCCCAGTAACTATTGCTTTTGCCCGTATTTGCTGCTACTTCAATTCTCTTTCCTTTTCTTTTCTTTCTTTTCTTTTCTTTTTTTTCTGCTTCTAGAGCATGCTAGATTAAAGTACTGATTCCCAGTGCCTACTAGACCCACCCTCTCAATCTATTGACTGTATCAGCTATGAGACAAACACACTCCACTGTGTGTAGAGTTGATCTGAAGGTGTGAGTTCTGCTGTGCAGTTCTGTCTCTAGAGATGCACTGGGAGACAATGCCACCTCTGTCTCTGCGGAACTGGGCATCTGGGCTGATTGGGAGCATGATCAGCAAGGACACTGGCTGGTTGGTTGCAAGGATCCCAAGGCTGCCATAACTGCAAGTTCAGGACTTCTGCCCATCTTCCCATCCCTTGTTCCAGTGGGCACTAGGGATCTCACAGGAAGCCAGTAGGCCCGTGACACAGCCGCCAGTCAGGTCCTTCTCTCCCATTCCCTGCAAAGAGGGAGCTTTAGGAAAGGGTTTGCCCTCTTTCCCTCCCTCCCTCCCTCCCTTCCTTCCTTTCTTCCTTCCTTTCGTTTGTTTTATGAGACAGGGTCTCACAATGTAGCCCAGGCTGGCCTCAAACTCATAGTAATCCTCCAGTTTCGGTCTTCCGAATGCTAGGATTACAGCCATGAGCCACCACTCTTTCAGCTGAAGGATTCAGTGTTTGAAATAAAATACTGAGGGCTGGAGGGATGGCTCCAAGGCTGCCCTTCCAGAGGTCCTGAGTTCAATTCCCAGCAACCACATGGTGGCTCACAACCATCTGCAATGAGATCTGGTGCCCTCTTCTGGCCTGCAGGCATACATGGAGGCAGAACACTGTATACACACAAATAAAATCTTTGAAAAACTAAGCATAAAAAAGAAATAAATAAAGCACTGAAATAGTTTTACTGGAGATAACTAACATAGGGTTTTCTTTAAGTTATTTTATGATTTAGTGATATTTTGATCTCAAATTCATTGAGTTTTAGAGTTCCTGATGACCTTAAGCTGATCTCACAAGTAGGAAACAAAGGATTCAAAACAAAAGAGGAGTCAGCTAGCAGATTATCAGTCGACTTTTTGCAAATCCCATTATAGGTGTTGTGATTAAGCGTGTGAATTCTGTGAGTCCTCCGCTAGCTCACACTGTAGGTTATTTATACCCTTACACAGAGCATGAGAAGTAATCTTCAGCCTGTGATAATCAGAACGAACCAAACAGGGAAGAAACCATTGTTAAGGGAAACACAGAACAATTAGGCCAAAATAAGTGGGACTCATTAAATCTGAGGACACAAGCAAGGTAGATCCAGGCTAAAGGACCAAAACCAGCCTAAGTATGGAAACATGGCTCTGGCCGGCCTTGCCCTTCTCCCCCAATTTCCTCTGCCTTGCAAACAACAACAACAACAACAACAACAACAACAACAACACAAAACCAAAACCAAACCAAAACAAAAAACAATGAAAACAGAAAACCTTGGATTACATTCCTAAAGCGTGTCACCAAAGTCTACTCCCTTATTTGGTCACTTCCAGTTGTAAGAGGCAGCTTGTTTGTTCCCTGCTGCTCAGCCCAGAAATAATCACACAGAAACCATATTATTTGCAATACTGTTTGACCAGTAGCTTAAGCGTATTTCTGGCTAACTCGTATCTTAAATTAACCCATTTCTATTAATCTGTGTATCGCCACGTGGCTGTAGATTACTGGGTAAAATTCTATCTAGTGTTTGTCTCTGATAGGGCTACATGGCTTCTTCTGACTCTGCCTTCTTTCTCCCAGCATTCAGTTTAGTCCCCCTCCCTCCACATAGCTAAGTTCTGCCTTGCTATAGGCCAAAGCAGTTTCTTTATTCATTAACCAATAAAAGCAACATATAGACAGAAGGACCTCCCACACCAACTTCCTCCTCCTGAGGCTGACTGCCGAGATCCAGCTATCAAAGTATTGAAGTCCAGGGATCAAAATGCCCCCTTTGGTTGTCCTAATTAACATGCCTAATTAAAATTAAACAACCTGTTCTAACACAAGGTTTCCCCCTTATAAACCACCATTTTCCTGTGTGCCTCATCTGTCTCCTCTCTGTACATAGGCTATTCTTTATCCTTCCAACCCCCCAGGACAGACACTACTCTTCCTTCTTTCCTTTCCCTTCTCCCTCATCCTCTATCTCCTGTCTTTATCTCTTATTCCTGCCCTCTGTCTCTCTGGGGCAAATAAACCTCTTTTATGCTGAGAACTTGGTCTTGGAGGTTCTGAGCTGATCCCTGACTCTTATGCAGGTATACACCAGACCCAAGTTTAGTTGGGAACACTCAGAGGTAAAAAACCGATGAACACAAACCACCATTTCCTTGCAGGCTGACACCATCCTGCCCTTATGATGTATAATTTTGTGTCTCTTTGGCTATGCTAGAGTACCCAGGTGTTTAGTTAAAGATCCATGTTTCTTTGAGTGTATTTTCTGGGTGTGATTAACATTTAAATAAGTTAACTTTGAGTAGCTTCACATGTAACTGGGGCGTGTTGGCCTCATCCAATCAGTGGAAGGCATTATGTCAAAACTCTGAGTTTCCCCTGAGATGGGAGGAATTCTGAAGACAGACCACTTCTAAGTCAAGACTGCAGCATCATGTCGTCCCTAAATTTCCACCTGTAGAGCATCTTTGGGGCAGTTAGCCCTGCAGGTGCATAAGAAAAGCAATTCTTTGGATAAACCTAGTTTTATAAATTAATTCTGTCACTTTGGAAAACTCAGGCTGAGTTGGGTGTAGCAGGCTTTCTCTGGGCCACCAACCAGCTCCCAAATCGTGACATAGAAACTTCTTAGTTATGAAAGCTCAGTCTTATCTTAGGCTTGTCCCACTGGCTCTTATAACTTAATTTAACCTGTTTCTCTTCATCTATGTTTTGCCTTGGGGCTTTTAACCTTTCTTTCCTCCTGTAGGTCCTGTTTCTCTGCTTACTTCATGTCTATCTGTTTGGTGGCTGGCTGGCCCTGGACATCTCCCTTGCTTTCTCCCTCATTCTCTTCTCTCTTCTACTTATTCTCTTGGCCTGTCAGCCCTGCCTATCCCTCTACTGCCTAGCTATTGGCTGTTCAACTTTTTAATCAGGTCCATCAGGTGCCTTAGGCAGGCAAACCAGCACATCTCTACGTAGTTAAAATAAATGCAGCATAAACAAAGGTAACACACCTTTACATAGTTAAAGTAATATTCCACAACAGCAGGAAGGTAGGAATTGATAATATTTCTGAAATATTTATTTATTTCTCTTTTTTTAGATATTTTCTTGTTGTTTTGGTTTGTTTGCTTTCCCAAGATGATACTTGCTATGTAATACATGCTTGCCTCAAACTCATGGTCTTCCTGCCTCTGCTTCCCCAGTACTGGGGCTACACTTCTGGGCCACCACACCTTGTTCTGACTGAAGCTTGTTTTTCCTATTATTCCCCCTCCTTGTCCACTCCTCCAACCAAGTTGCTTAGTACCTAGTGCCCTCTCCTCTAGGGCAGTTGTAAAAGAAAGAAAAGAATCTTCTTGCCTTTGGTTTCCAAAAGCCTGAAAGTTTAAACTTGGACTCTCCACGTGTCCCATACATTGACTCCATCCGAGAGTTTGGAGCTCAGTTGGGGTGGAATTTTTATAACAGCAGAGGTTGGGGTGAGGGATTTACAAAGTTCAGGGTCCCTGGTGGACTGACATTTGTCTAGGGGTGTCCCGGTGAAAAGGGATAGGTATATGCCGAACTTTGGAATATTAGGTATTTTCTCTTGGATGGTCCGTTCCTGGGTGGTGCCTGGTGGTCTTTCTTGAAATCAGGTAGTGCTTTATGGTAAACCCAAACTCATGCCTCTGTTAAGCTCGCCATGGCTGGGCACTGTAGAAAGAGCTTGGCCTTGGTGATGCAGCTGTCTAGTCGTTGTTGCTCCTGTCAATAACCCCTCACCCAAATTCCTGTAAGTAACCCCAGTAAAACACATGGCTCACCAAGTGGGACTTGGGTGGTGTCCACACCTTGGTCTGTCCTGGACTGCCTATCTGGGTTGAGTTGACAAGTGTTTCCATCTCCCCAGGAAAAGTTTTGTCACACAAGAGACAAAGGGACAGCCGTGGGAACTTACCGGTAGCCGTGAGGGTGGATCCCAATGAGAGAAGGACAGGTAGCACCAGGTGCAGTTGGACAGACAGATGGAGGCTACATTCCACAGGCTGGTAACACAAGCTGCAGAAGTCATCCTAAGAGGAACAAGGGGCGATGCTGAAGGCTTTGAGGCAGTTCACATTGCCACACAGACAGCATCTTGGAGGTTAGGTGGGCAGTTGAGATGTTACTGAAGTTTGCAAGGGACAGATGGTGATGCCGGCCAGGGAATGGCAGAAGGGCGAGTGGACGGAGTCAGTATGTCTCAGCGGCATACTGAACAGGTCTTGCCATTGTGTGGCCTGGGGCGATGAGGGAGGGGTTGGAAAAACTCTGGTTTCTGTTTGAGCAACTGGTGGATCAAGGAAGCTGTCTGCTGAGGAGGGATGTCTGGAAAACTACAAGCCCATGTAAGGAAACCCAATGTCCTGAGATACTGGCACCCGGAGAAATACAGAGAAGGTTCCAGGTAACCAGAACTGGACTGGAGGTGGGATCAAGTGACTCCAGCAGTAATCTTCATTGCCTGTGATCTGCTTTTGATTCTCCTGGGCTGCCCATGGGCACACACACAAAAAAAGCTTGCTTTCATTAATTTGATCATGATGATTTGGGTAGTCTTTCTCCTTCCATCTTTGGGATTAACAGTAGTGGCACAAGACTGTAATCCTAATCCTTGGGAGGTGAAGGCAGGAAAGTCATAAATTCAAGGTCATCCTTCAATGAGAGGCTACCAGAGCCTGGGGTAGACAGAATGTTAATCCCACTAGGCAAGAATAAAACCACTATCACGATTTTGATCCAAATTTGAAGCAAGTTTTAATTAATATTGACCAGGATGATGGACTCTGGCCAGGTCCATTCGGGAGTTCCAAGAAAATGGTGACAAGTCACGTTTTGCAGAGGCTTATAAAGGCAACCCCATAAGGTTACACATTCTCCACCAGGTCGAATCAGGAGTAACCAGATATCCGGATGCATTTCCTGCCTTGCTACATGTGATCAAGCACATCCGGTACAGTTGGGCCAAACAAATTTGTTTAGGGGAGTAAAGACCATGTGGCTTATCTCTCATAACAATACTTCCAGTATTCCAGGAAGTATCTGTCCTTGGGCAAGGGGCTTACAGGTTAAAGGCATTTCTGTTTTATACTTAGGCGTAGTACTTAAAACTTGAAACATAACTTTAGCCCTCACAAGAACCCAGCATGGTGGTTAATCCCAGCACTTGGGAGGTAGAAGCAGGCAGATCTCTGTGAGTTTGTGGCCAGTCAGGGCCACGAGGTGAGACCCTGACAAGAAAGAAAGAGAGAGAGAGAGAGAGAGAGAGAGAGAGAGAGAGAGAGAGAGAGAAAGGAAGGGGGAGGGAGGAAGGAAGGGTAGGTTGGTTTAAAAGGGAGAGAAAGGGGAAAAGGGCAATGGGTGGGTAGGTGGGGCGTTAAGGTGTGGAGGGGTGGCTTCCATGGCCACCAGAGCAGCCTCCAGCTGTTCAGAATCCAGCGGAGCCAGGAGACCCTGGGACAAAGAGGGAATGCTAGCTGCTGCTCATACAGGGAAAGTCATGTCTCTGGCCAAGTGGCTCCTCTGGCAGCAGCTCGACCCTGGCCCCTGGCCAGCCACATATTGGGAGCAGAGTCTGAAGGCAGGCTTTGTCTCAGAGGAAGGATGGTGTGAGCGAGCACTGAGCAGTGGGGGGTGCAGCCAGGGCCCACTGCAGAACTGAGGGAACCTGGGATGCCTGAGGAGAAAAGGCAAAGTGGGGCCACCCGTTGCCCCTCTGCCTCTCTCAGTAACGTAGCTCACAAACAACCAAAGGACCTGGTGTGAGTTAACTCGTTTTTCTTATCACTGTTCTCAGGTTTACCTCTCAGAAAGACAGCCCTGCGTCCCTTGAGCGAATCTGCAACCCTCTCCACAGCTCTGCCGCGGGGCAGATAGAAGAACAGGGGCTCACTGGAGCTCAGAGACCCAAATGGGTCGGTCGGCCATGGGAACCTTACAGGAGGCCCTGTCTTAGAGCAACACAGGGAGCGGTCCCCAGTTCCTGGAACTGCAAAACCGCAGGGGCAGAAAAACGCTGCAACCCCAGTGAGACCGCTCATGCGCATTTCTCTGTCCTCAGCTGGATGGAGAATTGATGGACTTGAACGTCAGTGAACATGAATCTTTTATTATCTGTTCTTTCCTTCTCCTCCGGGACTTCTTTCATTTTTCCCCCCTACCCCTCCCCTCAGACCAGTACTTTTCAACTATCGTGTGCTAATGATCTGTGAGATGGCTCCGAGGTAAAGAATATTGTGAAGAGGCCTGGTGACCTGACCTGAGATTCCCAGGACCCACCCACACGATGAAAGGAGAGAATGGACTTCCTCCTGAAATGGTTCTCTCTCTCTCTCCCCCTCCCCCCCCATTTGACGAAGAATCACTAAGGTGGCCCAGTGCAGAGTGCAAGTTCCACGCCAGCCAGGGCTACGTAGGGAGACTTTATCTTAAAAGAGCAGAGGAGGAACCCACAAAGTCAGGAAACAGAGGGGAAGCCCAGCTTTACTCTCATTAGATTGAGACATCAGCCCCTCATTCGCTTCCCCCTTGCTACAGCTCGCAAGCTGCCCAATGCCCCACCACGTCTCAAGCTGGAGGAGACAAAAGACACCGTGGGAGGCAAGTCGTGAGTGTGGCTGCGCATGATATCATCCAGCAAGCGCTGGAGGAATGCCACCATGGGAGGATTCATCCCGAGTCTGTTGCAGCCGCGTCTCTGGCTCCTCCAGTGCTCATTCCTGTGCTCACAGGGCCCCATTTCCTTAGAACTTCCGGTGGAGCCCCGAGTCTCAGAGTTCAGGTCTCCCCTCTGCCTGTCTTTTCTTGATTTCCTGTGAAATGCATCAGGAAGACCGGCCTCCAGCAGGAACTTGGGTGGAAGACCAGAGATTGGGTAGAGAAGCCAAACCTCTGCCCCGCCTGGATGTGTTCCAGGACAAGAAGGCAGGAGGCCTCTCGAGAAGAGACTGATTCACCCCGCCCTTTGTATCGGAAGCCAGAGTTCCGCGTGGAAACAGCTCTCCAGCTTCCTAATGGAGTCTCACCCTGAAATTAATTACTACTTTCTCCTGCTGGAATTACAATTCTGAATCTTTGCTGCTACATGTTTATGTGTACATGCATGTGTGTATAGAGGTAAGCAGTTGATATCAGGTGCTTTTTCTGAATCATTCTCTGATTTGTTTTTGGTTATTTTCACTGAATCTGGAGTTTAATAATTCATCTAGAGTCCTAGCTGCTAGGCTGTCTGGCCTCTGGCCTGCATGCTCCAGGGACCTTTCTATTTCTGGTTTCCCAGTGCTGGGTTGCAGGCATACCACTAGCCATTTATTTATTTATTTATTTATTTATTTATTTATTTATTTATTTATTTATTTATTTATTAATTATTGCTTGAGACAGGGTTTTTCTGTGTAACTCTGGCTGTCCTGGAACTTGCTTGTAGACCAGGCTGGCCTTGAACTCACAGAGATCCACCTGCCTTTGCCTCCCAAGTGCTGGGATTAAAGGCATGCGCCACCACCCAGCTATATTTTATTTTTTAATGTGGGCTCTCAGAGACCAAACTTAGGTCCTCATGATTGCACAGCAGTCACCTGACAACTGAGTCATGCACATACACACAGCCTATGCCATTTGTTTATGTTTTTGTGAAGCATGATTAATAAAAACTCGGAGACAGATATTGGGGTTCAATCTGAGGACCAGAAAAGCAAAGCAGCCAAGCACTGGTTCTTACCTTGACCTCAGTTCAAAAATGGTGATTCTACCTCTAATCTCAGAATGAGACTGAGCCTGAGAACTGTCTCCTCCCACTTTATAATCTTCTCTAGGGCTGGGATTAAGGATGTGCACCACTACCAACTGGCAAACTAGTGTGGCTACTGAGATTAAAGGTGTGTGTCATTACTGTCTTGTTTGTAAGGCTGGCCAGTGTGGCTGTTTTACTTTTCTGATCTTCAGGCAAGCTTTATTTATTAAAGTACAAATGAAATGCCTCTACATTTTTGTTTGTTTGTTTGTTTTGATATAGGCTCTTACTCTGTAGCCTGAGCAGGCTTGAAACTCAATATGTATGTAGCCCAGCTTATCTTGAACCCATGTCAATCCTCCTGCCTCAGACTGAAACACTAGGATTTCAGGCACTAGCTACCATGCCCAGCTCATTCTAAACCTTTAGCCTGTATTACCTGAATGACCCCACCCTCGGGCTTCTGAGTCAGTGGCCCATCAATGACCACATCTGATGAGCTCCCTACTGAGTCTGATGGTTCAGAGTCACCTCAAGAACCACTGCTCAGGTAACGCCACCTCACAAATGTTCGTGCACACAGAGTCGTCCAGGGAACCTTCTTGGCTGAAGCCTGAAACCTGCGTGTCTAAAAGGCGGCTGGGTGTCTGTCCTGGTCTTCAGCGCATACCTGGAGCTCGGGTCTCCTTGGATTGCTCAGCATCAGCTCTCGGCCCTGATCCACAGAAGAAGCATCTGGAGAACGTGGAAAACTCAATGAAGTTAGATGTTCTGGGAATGAAGTGAATGGATTTTAGGCTCCCTAGTGTGGAGCCCACAGAAGTGGGTCTGCTGCACCTTGCTCCTTCATTTTTAAGACAGGAGATCTGACCCAGGAAGTGGCTGCCTACAGGATACCTGGTCTAAGGTGTGGTCACTGCATGTCCTGTCTGAAACATCAGGATGCTTAACTCAGGAAATAGTGGCTTAATGTCTCAAGTATTGAAGCAAACGGTTGTTCTGTTTGTCCTTTGTGTCATGTTAAAGCAGTCATTTGCCTTCTTCCCCCATTTTGGACTGGTATCTAAATCAAATGGTATATAAACATGTGGACAATAACCATGGGTGCATTCAGTATTCAGTGTTCACTGGATGGCCCTCCAGTTCTATCCTGTGTCTCTGTATTTCTTTCACACCTCTGTTCTTCCTACCTAATTTTTCTAATCCCCACGCCCCTACCCAGGGACGTGTGAACCCTGTCGAGACTGGATCCCAACACCGTAGGCGACGGGTAGCTGAAATGCAGGACTGTTGTTTTGAAATAGTGGATCCCAGTCCTACCACAGAAATGAATAAAAATTTTTACAAAATATCCATTCTTTTATTCCTCAGACCCTCTGCATGCCTAACACTCCTCTAACTGGTCTAACTTCAATCTGTTATCCACACGGTGAGCAGCATGTGCGTGCACACGGACATGCACACATACAAACACACGCACTCGTGAGCACACACACACATGCACGCACACATGCACTCACACACACACACCACTTCTTAAAACTTTCAACAGCTTCTCTTTTGCCTTTAGGACAAAAACAAGTCAGAATTTTTAGAAGAAGTGGGGCTTAGGGTCTTTGCATGTTAAAATCAGCCTTGCCTATTCTCCGCCAGTCTTGGGACCACTGTCCCAGTCACATTCCATCCGTCTGCTTTTCTTTTGGTCTTTGCCCACGGAGGGCAGTCTGCCTGTGGACACGTCTATGCCCACCTTGCTGTTTGTCATCGAATGACTTTGGTCTCCAACATCTGTTTGACTCCTCAGAGCGGCCTTGACACTCTCCCTTGTCTACGGGTTTTGACTTTGATCACACCTTCCTGTACCCTTGACCTTTGACCTTGGCCTTTGAGTCTGCATACTCCCCCCCTCCCCCAACTTCAATACTTCCCAATCCTCCAATGCTGGCTGCCAACTTAGATTTCAGTGTTCCAGAACAAGTTTGTAGACCTTCTGAAAATGTTTACTGGGTGTCTCCAAGGTGCCAGGCATGGTGCTGGGCATAGGATGGCATGTGGACAGGGAAATTCATATTCTTATTTATAGATGGACAGCAATCAAACATAAAATTCCTAGTGAGGTGTCCTGGGTACCAGAGGGCACAGTGTTGTGATATTTACTGGAGAAATCCCTTCCAGGGAGGGAAGCTGAAGTCCAAAGATATGGCGGGAGCTACCTAGCTCTGTGAGGTAGGGTAGGAAAATGCTGGAAAATGCAAGGCCTGGGTTACAGGGGAGAACAAAGCAAGGCGGGGGACCAAAGGCTTTAGTCACCAGGACAGAAGTAGGGAGTGTGGGAGGTTTTGTTAGATTTTGGACTGAAACGGCACCCACTCCCTAGCCAAGACCAGCAGCCTACAGTACCCACCACAGTGTGGCAGGGACTGGGAACCAGCACAGTTGAGCATATTGGCACCCTGTTATTTATGCAACAAAACAGACCTCACCTCTTCCTACTTCTTACTTCTCTTCCTAGGTCCTTTCCCCCCATGCCTGGAAAATGGGTAAATCTGCCAACCAAGAGGAATAGATGGGCACCAGGGAGGCATGTGGATTCATAGTTTAATGCCTGTCATATGAGTGCTAAGGGAAAGGTGTTGTTACAAATACCACACTTGAGTACTACATGCAAAGATAGCCCAGTTACTCTACAGCAAATCAAATCTCTCTGTTGCTATAAGTGAATATCAAAGCTTATCCAGCTTACATTTCTGGAAATGAGGAGCGTCTAAGGTCAAGGACTTAAAACTGGTGAAGATCTTATTGTTAGTAGGAACTGCAGAATCCCAGCCTAGCGGATAGTGTTGTACATGTGTGCGTGTTGCATGTGTGCGTGCGTGGGTGTGGGTGTGTGAACATTCCCCAGAGCATAACAGCCATCACCATCTTTATTGTCATCAGAAGCAGCTGAGTACTTGCAACCAGTCGACTTCCCCCCTTAGGAGGAGGAGGAGGGCAGAGTCATCAGACCCTACCTGAGGTTCCAGCCACTCCTTACACCTCCTCCCAGCTGTTCTGCTGCTACACAGTGGTCTTGTGGTTTGGAGGCGATAAGACTATACAGAGGGTGGAAAGCTAACTGGAGGTGGGACTCCACCTATGCAATTGTGAAGCTGTCATATCCACGCTGGGGTGATATTTTTCAGTGGTATGAAGTGACCCCTCACTCATGCTGTATAAGGAAGTCCAAAAAAAAAACTCTAGCTTTAAGCTAGACTTGCTGAAATCGTTCCTTTGGTCTGTCACCGTTGCTCTATCTGGGGTAAGCAGATAGCTGTTTTTATCTCCCCCAGGGAAAGTTCCGCGACTGGACACAAAAGCAAGTCCAATTGATTTTTATAGAAGGCTTGTTATTGAGAGAATCGATTAATTTGAGAATGGATGAATATAGTTAATGTTACTTGAGAAAGCTGAGTCTTTGTTTCCTAGTCACTTCTTAAAGGCCCACCTCCGAATGTGTCACACTGGGGATTGGCCCTCAACACGAGGGGCTGGAGAGGTGACTCGGTGGTTAAGTGCAGCAGCGGCTCTTCCAGAGGACCTGGGTTCGACTCACATGGCAGCTCACAAGTGTCTGCAACTGCAGTTCCAGAGGGTCAGACACCCTCACACAGGCATAACATGCAGGCAAAACACCAGTGCACATAACATATAAACAACAACAACAAAAACAAAAACAAAATCTCTCAGCACAAGTGTTGGTCGGCACAGTCAAACCATAGCATCGTCTTACCCTGGGCCTCTACTTTGGACATCATTATGCATTACTGAAATGGGAACATGGCCCTTAGGCCATGAAGAAGGCTCCCTAGCCTTCAGTGATGCAGGTCACTCACTTATGTGTCCAGTGTCCATGGTGGGAAAGCTGTCCTTTGACTCTGCTAGAATGCCGGTGTTTGCAGTGGGAGACCCAGTGGTTAGCAACATCACACTGCAGCCCCCCCATCCCTGCTTACCACCCAGCTTCTTCCTGCCTGGGGGTCAGAGACTCCTGAAGCCCACTCACCCTTCTTTTCCTGGGATGGGGGCCACTTTCTTTTTTGGGGAGACAGGGGATGAATGACGTCATTTCTACTCTCCTCCCCATACCGACTAATTTCCCTTCAATGGGGTCTTCTCCCTCATTTCACTTCAGTATCACTGTTAACCATGGGGTGTCATCTTGTCACCGTCTAGGGTTCCTTCTGATGTGTTTTTATTTGGAGAGTCATGAACACCCTTGGACTTCCATTCACTGCCACCAAATGAAGATCTAGAGCAGGAATTAGCTCAGGGTCATTGGGATAGAGCCCAATCTTCCACCTGGGTCTTAAGGTATTGGTTTCTTGGTCTCTTCAAGACACTCAGTTGCTTAATTTCAAATCCCCAAGAGAGGTTGAGGTGCCTGTTTAACGTATCAAAGCAGATCTGATTGCCACGTTCTCCCAGCATCCCTCAGTCCCTACCGATTGCAGGGTTTGGCTGGCATATCCCACCCTCTACTCAGAACTCTCCAACCCAGGGTTGGGCTGCTCTTTCCTGAGAGGCTCTTTGTGGTGCCTGCACCACCTGTAACTGCAAATGGGCAAGGGTCTGGGGATTAAAAAACACACAGAGACACGGGTCACTCTTGAAACAAGAATGCCAATTTTATTGTGTTCCAGGGCAGCTTATATACGGCTCTCCTTGACTAATGGCCGCATCCTAACTCTTGGGATTTTTCACCTGAAAGCCCACCAAAAACCACTTCCTTGTTATCAGGAACTCATGAGGGGCTTGTGCTCAGAGCAGCTGCAAGCATAGGAAAAACAAGTTATTTACTCCAGCAGGCAAGGGGTCATAGAAAGTTCAGGGTCTGGGGGGTCTGCAGTCCCAAACAGCTCTTACCTATATAATCCAGCCATTTTGGTTACCTGCCCCTTTTTGTACCTTTGGGCCTCATGACTACAGCACCTGGTCCACCTCTTTCCCTCTCCCCCTTCCTCCCCCTCCCACGATTCAGGGCCATGTGCACTCTGGACTCCCCCAGATGTCCCTGACTCTGACTATGCTCCCCTACATATCTATAATAAATTCTCTCCTCCACCATACGTAGGAGAAGTTATGTGTTATGCCCAGATTCACAGATCCCCCCAAAACCAACAAGGAGACCGAATCCTGTATGCCAAAGCAAAGAGACTTTATTTTTACTCAAGTTTGAACTCAGACTCTCCGTGAAAGGTTCTCTGTGAAAGGTACTCTGCTGATCCTTCTCTATTAGAAAACTTTCCTAACGTGTGCATTAGCTACTCCACCCTGGGAGGGGAGAGTGAGCCTCTAAGAGTTTGATAGCCCCAAGAAAGAAAACTCTTCACCTAGAATATTTTCTGCACAGGCAGCCAGCAAGAGAACCCTGTGGACTATATGCAAATTGTCTGACTTTCTCACCAATGAGGTTAAATCTACCGTTTTCTTACTCAGCAGGAGCTTGCTAAACACCAAGTGCAGTTACTGCCTGGGATCACAGTTCTGCAAATTATTCCTAACAAGTATGCAGTTTTTCTAAAAGGGGTCAAACAAGGGCAGCACAATGGGCATTTGTCTGATAGCTTCCAGAGTTAATGGGTATTTTTGTTTATGAAGAAAAAGAAGGAAGGGGGTGGCCAGCTGTGGTCTGCAGCCTAGAGAAATTCTGCTATCGGCTGTGGCTAATGTAGTGTCTAAATTTTATCATCCATGAAGGGCAACCAAGAAATTTATGTCAACTTTTCTTCACCCCTTCACATGTTCCGAGTTTCTCCTGTTGTTGTTAAGCATCTTTTGAAATACACACCTAGGTAGAGGTAGCCCTTGCTGAACCTCAATAAATAACAAGCCCAAAAGATTGGGGACCACCCAGGCAGCCATGGTCAGCCACAGGAGGGTGGCCAGCAGCATCTGTCTGTCACTTCCTGAAGCTCGGCCTAATTAGGGACACTGATTAGGTATTCTGAGAAAACCAGAGAGACCTTTGGTTAAAGACGATGAACGCACACACATGGAAACCTGCCAGTCATTCCAGACAGCTGAGAACATCTGGACAAAATATGACCAAATATTTGTAATACATAACTGAGCATGAAACCACACAAAAGGAATCGCCAAGTGTCAGAAGGAAAAGAAAAATTCAGAAATGAGTGGAAGTGGTTCTGTGCTTAAGCAAAGCTGTAAATAGAGTCAGATGTGGTGGTCCGGCCTGTAATCGCATCATTTCAGATGCTAAGGCCAGGGGATCATCTCAGGTTCAGAGAGCCTGGGATACCGAGCAAGAGCCAGGCCAGCCTTGCCTCAGCATCCATCACATATCACGCCAAAAAA